CACACAACCCGTGTCGGGTTTTTGGGTCCTTTTGCTATTTTTTCAAAGATAAAATTGCAAGTTTGGTCCTAAGACTTCTACATGATGAACAATCTAATCTCATATCTTCAAATTTATTCATTTAGGTCCCTAATTGGAGCCATTTATTTCACAATATAGACCTCAAACTTTGAAAAGATTTACAATTTAGTCCCATGACTTCTATTATTATGCATTCCAATATTTTTTATGCGTTTCCAAGGATATGCATCTTTCACCTTTGGATGCAACTCTTGTTTACTTCCCATTTCAACACTATGTTTAGGGCATAGTTTCAACGGGGTTTAAGTAGTAGTATTTTTTTTTTTGTTAGGGTTGGGTTCCCTCTGTATCTTTTCCATTCCTTTTGTTTGTCTTCTATTTTCCATAGTCATTCTCATAGGGTGGACAAACTGAATAATTAATTAAATATAATATAATAAAAGATGAAGAGAATGATTATTTGATTAGGAAAAAGGGACAATGATAGTTGACAACAATAATAAAAATAAAAGAAAAAAAGCTAGTCTTATAAATAAAGTTAGAAGAGTTATCAATAATAATTAAATTAATAATAGATTACTTAAGGACATTGTTAGTAATTTTTAAGAAGAGAATGAAATATATAAGACAAAGATAACCCTACAATTTATATATATTATATCATTGATAGTCAATTCTACATACTATGAAAATTATTAGATATTGTTTAGAAGTACATTCATCTTTTTCTTGCTATAGTAAGATATTTTTATTCTTTGTAACATTGTTCTAAGTCCTTTAACAATCCTTGAAACATGATCTTTATATACTGCTTCTTTTTCTTTCTCCATTTCACGCAAAGAAGATTGTCTTTGAAAAGCTTCTTCAATAGCTTGCATTTTGGTGTAATTAACATCTTCAATTGCAAAATCATGAGATTTCTTTAGTTCTAAGATAGCATGTTTTGCAGCAAATTGTTTCGCTTCTTCCATAGTTGAAAAATGATAGCCATTGTAAATTAATTTTATAGCAATATAGTCCTCTTCTTAGATTAGTTGAATGCTGGAGGCATAATTCCCATCATCACTTAGATTTGTTTGATATTGTGGCTGACCTAAATTCAATCGAATAAATATCCTCTCTGGTAGTTCTTTGAAATTAATTCTTTCCACAAACCTAGGATTTTCCATGCTACAAAATGGTTGTCAAAAGAAAATGTTGAATTGTAATGTATAAATAATATAATTGAAAAAAAATGAAATAAGTATCAAATACCCAATATCAAATGTAATATACCTTTTTGAAATTGTTGGTTGACTCAAATTCCTTCATCAAAAGTTTGCATGGAGAATGGGGAAGGGTGGAGCTTAAAGAGAAATCATGTAAATATATCTCTTTAATTAGATTATTATTATAGGATAGGTTAGGAATAGTGACTCTTTATTTTTAATTATCAT